GTGATAACTTACGTCTCAGACGGTGGCTGCCTGGCAGCATAACCAGCTTTTTCAGCATCTCTGTTGAACAGAAAATATTTGACATTCTTAGTTACATCATGATCTAACATTTGGTTTTCACCAACTTGACCAAGCAAACTTACTTAAAATGTTAACAACAGTTTTTAAGCTTAGTCATGTTTTTCCTTTTCAGACCACGTTTCATTCCCTAGAGGATCATTTCTTTGTTTAACCGTTGCTCATGAGAAAACACATGAATAATACACTACAATTCAAGCAATTAATCTTAATGCTCAATTGAATGACATGTGGTCTAAAATGGGACAACATAACACAAAAGGTTAAGAGATCTAAAAGAAAACATCAAGAAAAAATCAAATACTTACCGGATCCTCTCCAACTCTTGTCTCTTTCGTTCTCGTTCTCTTTCTCTTTCACGTTCTTTCTCTCTTTCATGTTCTTGCTCTCTTTCCTTCTCTTTTTCTCTTCTTCGTTCCTCTTCCTCTCGCTGTTTTCTCAGCCTTTCTTCTTCCTCCTCTCTCCTCTTCTTCTCCCTCTCTTCCTCCGAATTCAGTCTTGTAACTCGCACATGTGAGCCAGGCCTTTCACCAACACCATAAGCCACTTGTGCACTGTCTACTACAGAGACGCCTTCAGCTTTGACAGCTCCTTCCTCGACAGGAGCACCGTCTTTTCCTTCCTGGCCAGGGTAGTAAACAGTGGTTGTCGTKGTGGTGGTGGTGATTTCCTGGAGACGCTCAGCCATTCTCYTTTTGTATTGCTGTCGTTCTTCCACTGTCATGGTCGCCATGAGTTCTTCTTCAGACAAGGGAGCCTGCAAAGAGACAAACAATCTCTTATAGGCCCCTTGCAGCATGTCGGAATGAAGATCAATTTGGAGGACATAACAGTAAGTTTCCAATTCTCTTGGAGATTGAAATCCTTTTTTTGTCCCCCAACTTGATCTGTTTTCTTTTTTTTTGTCACATGCAAGGGGTCGATTCATGCATCTTAATCCAGATAATTGTTTCTGATTCATCTCGACATGTAGCAGTGCATCAAGTGAAATAAGAGTAACACCAAAGTAATGAAAAATCTATACTAAGTTGCCCTGTAACATTGAGAAACAACTCTTCATAAAAGAAAGGCAGAGAGAGAGAGAGAGAAAATAACAGGAGGAATTCAGAAGTCAAAAAATAATGCAGATGCTGGAGCGACAGCAAGAATAGAGGAAGGAAGAAAGGTAAAATGTAGGTAAAAAGGTAAAAAGTAGAACACGAAGATAACGAGAAAGAAAGAAAATGGGTAATTTGTAAGAGCGCTTGAATCCATTTCTCTTCATGTTGCGCATGAATTCGTAACATTCACCCATTTGAAAAAATAGGTTTTGGTGGAGGACAGAAAGCCTGATCTGTTTCCATAATAATACATATTATACTCTTTGTAATTTCTGACAAACATTATGAAAACACTTGAACTGAGGTCCAGTAAAACTTAATTTGTTATGACTACGATACTTTGTGTGTAGTTAAAAAGAGTGTGAGGATTGTTGGTCAGACCAAGTCAAAACCATTATAGKCAAGACTTACCACTCTTTCTCCAGTCTTAGATTTCTTGTCTCTAGGACCTTCGTTGCGCTTCTCCTTTTCATTSAGCTGACGTTTCTTGGACTCCTCATCAGGTACAACAATGATTGTAGTAGTAGCAGGTTCATATCGGTCTGACCAGTTTCTGCTTGATACTCGCATAAACTGGGGTGGGTCTTGGTTGACTGAGAAACCTTCTTTGCGAAGCTGGTACAAGGTTTTGTCGCTGTAGCGGAACTTGGAGCCCTTCTTGAGAAGAGTGTCAGTCTTGCTTGGTGGAGGATCAGGGTATGACAACCTGGAAGAAAGATATCACACATTTGAAACCTGGTTTAAAACGTAAAGGAAGGGTGAAGCACACCACTCTCAAGCTCGAACTATGTGAGCAGAGTTTTTTATTGCTTTTCTATACTGTGCTTTGAGGGCTTTTCTACGAGCTCTTCAGTTTTTCTCCCTCTGCTGAAATACTAAAATTCAATTCTGGCATTGAAATCTTAAATAAGAGCCTTTGGCTCGGGAGAACTRAGCAATCACTTCCTGTAAATGATGTAAAATATATACAGCTATTTCAAAAAAGGTTGAATACTGAATATTGCATACTGAATAGTGCATTCCAAGACCAAAGGGTATTGTGGGTCTCGTTAATTTGAAATAAAATGTAAATATACAGCAATTAACTCTCTACATGTAGTTAAGATGGAATACACTAAAAATAGAATAAATAATTATTATTAATCCTACTTTAGACAATATCACTATGACCCACAATGCCCACTACTGAGCTGGCATTGAAAGCTGGCATTGAAAGCCATGGTGGTCATGTTGGTGGTACTGAATAAGAAGGCTAATGGCACCAACATGGCAGCAATGGCATCACAATCCATATACTAACCTGAAGAAGGTGTGATGTTCAACGCAGGACTTGTATAACCG